TTTAAATTAATAAATAATTTATGCTACTTATTTAAATTCATTATTATTTTTATTGTTTAAAGTAAAAAATTTTTACACAAAACTTATTTCTGGTAAGTTCAATAAAATTAGCTAGCTTTAAGTGCTATGAACTCAATTTTATAAAATAACGTTTAAAAAATATAGGAGATCTATGTTTTAATTTCATTCAGTGGTGAGTGGATCTATATTTCAATTGAGCTCATTAGAATTTCCAGTAAATGACATCACAAGTAGTACAGTATTCAATTTGGAGTCATGAAAAATGATGCATGGCAAAACCTATGCCCTTTTTATAGTAGCAGGCAGGCCCAAAGTTGTCGGTAAGTTAACAATTTTGCATAAAAGCAGAAACAAAGTTTACTTTAAATTTAGAAGCCTGTTATTTAAAAAAAAACGCTAATTTCAGTGTACAATGTACATTTAAGTTTATTATAACAGTATTATTTTTCATTCTCAAACCAATAAAGAAAGAATTTTCAAAATCGTTCCACTAACAAAATAGGGAACTTTTCTTTTGAATTGTCAGTACAGTCAGTGAACGTAGAGCCGTAAGGTGGTGTCATCTGTGGTATTTGTTTAAACGTCAGCCCCGTTATGCAGTTTATGAATAAACCTGATAGAAATAATTTGACATATCAAACAGCCTGTAGTCGTGGTTTTAGATTTCTTATTGCAGTTGTGGGTTGTAGCGACCGTGGTCCGTCACTGTAGTTGTCTTTTAGTTGGCGGTGAGTGCGTGTTTCGTCCTATTCTCGTTCAAAGTAGAAAGGCTCAAGTGAATTCTAATCCTGTCTTATTTAGCAAGTACATTCGTCTTTGACAAGTTGCACCTTTTATTAAAATAGTTGTAAGTGGTGTATAGCCGGTTTGGTGGTTGATGAGGTTGTTGACTGGATAATAGTGTTTTATTCGTATATGTGTGCGAAGTGATATTTAAATAAATAAAAAACTGGGGTCGTGTATTGAACGTACTAAGGATATGGCAGAAAGTAAAGGATCATTGCTGGCTAAATCTGTCCAGAAGCATGCCGGAAGGGCCAAGGAAAAGGTTAGTGTCTAATAAATATATGCACTGAGTAGGTTCTGCTAAAATGATACGAAATTTAATTTAGAATTAAAAATAGTTGAAACGAAACGTGTTCTATTATATTATGTTGTTCCAATGATCAAAATTTAAGAAGCTGGCAACTCAAAATTTAGCCTCGCTTAATTTTAAAATAGACTTGCAGAAACATGACCCAGAAAAAAATCATGAGACTATTTCCGGCTGGTATAGAGTGCTAATTTTCTATGTTGCGGGGTTTGGTTCATCGACTACCTTGAAAATTATTTGTGTTATTAATTCTACACACGTAAATTAGTCGACAAACTAGCAAAAACCCAATAAACTAGCTTTGTATATTACCTTCTCTACAGACTCTACCACCTACCTGTTAACATAACTGTGGCTTTACGTGTGACCATTTTAAGCCATGTGAGCGAGTATGACATGCTTACATTAAAGTTAGATTTCACACTTATAGAAAGCATTATACAGGTAAGGCAAAACGTTTACCGAAAGTTGAAATTACACATTTTCTTGTCGGTACTAGGTATTTCTTTTTATCTTAGTGAACCTGTGGAACACACATATTTTTTCAATCACGTCTATCTGGAAACTGTCCTAAACTAATCGAACTATCAATATCTTTCGAATAGGTACAATGTGACAACCTTCAAAAGACTTATACATTTTTTATTATTTATATGGAATGTACGACTTACCTCGAAAATAAACCCTATTTTAAAAGATGATTTTAACATAAGTCTTATCTCGAAAATAGAAGCTCTGTGAAGTTCTCACCCCCATATTAGAATTTTCACCGAAATTGACATGGTTCGTTTGACTAAGTTGAATCCAAGTTAGCCCAACATTTTTTTTTCGTTAGCGTAACCTTAGGTCAGAATTTATAACAAAAAATTTTAGTGTACACATTCACCAAACTATAAAAGTTGAGAACAACTGAAAATAACAATTTGTAAAATTCGATGTTTTTACACCGCCATTTGCTTGTCCAATGTTAGTCCAAGTTATCTCACGTTTTTTTTTCGTTAGCCCAACACTGGTTCAAAAGTTTAACACTTTAACAGTTAAAAAAATAACTAAATCAAAATGTGAAAATCTTTGTTTTAAAACTTATGTGGGCATTATCGGGATTGTATTATAAGTAGCAAATAAAGTGGTAATAGAACTTTTTAACTTTTGTTTCAATAGCGTATAAAATAGTGTGCCCATATAATTAAAAATCAAATTATTATTAAATTTTGGTTTTATGTAAGCGTAATGAAATTCGTACACTAGTAATTTTGACAATTCTAATACAGCGAAACCAAGGTTATATTTTTTTATTTTCAGTGTTTCTCAACTTGAAAAAATTTTTATGTCATAAATTTTGTCCTAGTCATAAGAATATTGTTTTAAAATCGAAGTTAATTTTCTCTCATAGTTCCAACAGTTAATGATGTAATGATTGCACAAATAATGTATTTTTTTGTATGTTGGTTTTCACTACTTTGACCATTATAGTCATCATCATCATTATCATCATCACAACCGTCGCAATAGGGTCGTCAGTCTTAAGACTGATTTGATACGTACCTCTACTCTTTGCTACCCTGAGCTAACTTCGCATTTTCCTAAAACTAGAGCATCCCACATCCTTAGATATTTGTGAACAGTAATCTAATCTAGGTCTACTGCTACCCCCTAAACTCCTGTTTGTGCGTCCAATATGTCTCTCGGTATCCATCATTCGCCTGTGACACCACATTTCAAACGCTTCTAACCTTTTCTTTTCTGCCGTGCTCCAGACATATACTTTTAACAATATTTTTCGAATTTCTGAATTAACCGTTCGCGAACATAGAAGTGACTTATTTTTGTTAAAGGCGACTCTACCATGCGTTTTCCTCTATTTTACGAGGGTGGATTGATAAGTTTCCGGCCTAACCAAGAGATGACGCCACTAGGCCTACCTTGAGGTGACATTCTATAGTACCATCCTTGGATAGCTTGTAGCTATAGTTTCAGCCCGATCTCCTNTAACCTTAGGTCAGAATTTATAACAAAAAATTTTAGTGTACACATTCACCAAACTATAAAAGTTGAGAACAACTGAAAATAACAATTTGTAAAATTCGATGTTTTTACACCGCCATTTGCTTGTCCAATGTTAGTCCAAGTTATCTCACGTTTTTTTTTCGTTAGCCCAACACTGGTTCAAAAGTTTAACACTTTAACAGTTAAAAAAATAACTAAATCAAAATGTGAAAATCTTTGTTTTAAAACTTATGTGGGCATTATCGGGATTGTATTATAAGTAGCAAATAAAGTGGTAATAGAACTTTTTAACTTTTGTTTCAATAGCGTATAAAATAGTGTGCCCATATAATTAAAAATCAAATTATTATTAAATTTTGGTTTTATGTAAGCGTAATGAAATTCGTACACTAGTAATTTTGACAATTCTAATACAGCGAAACCAAGGTTATATTTTTTTATTTTCAGTGTTTCTCAACTTGAAAAAATTTTTATGTCATAAATTTTGTCCTAGTCATAAGAATATTGTTTTAAAATCGAAGTTAATTTTCTCTCATAGTTCCAACAGTTAATGATGTAATGATTGCACAAATAATGTATTTTTGTGTATGTTGGTTTTCACTACTTTGACCATTATAGTCATCATCATCATTATCATCATCACAACCGTCACAATAGGGTCGTCAGTCTTAAGACTGATTTGATACGTACCTCTACTCTTTGCTACCCTGAGCTAACTTCGCATTTTCCTAAAACTAGAGCATCCCACATCCTTAGATATTTGTGAACAGTAATCTAATCTAGGTCTACTGCTACCCCCTAAACTCCTGTTTGTGCGTCCAATATGTCTCTCGGTATCCATCATTCGCCTGTGACACCACATTTCAAACGCTTCTAACCTTTTCTTTTCTGCCGTGCTCCAGACATATACTTTTAACAATATTTTTCGAATTTCTGAATTAACCGTTCGCGAACATAGAAGTGACTTATTTTTGTTAAAGGCGACTCTACCATGCGTTTTCCTCTATTTTATATCTCTGATGCTCCTTCCATCCTGCATAATCTGACTTCTTAGATATCGAAAATCAGAGACCCTTATAAAATAAATGTATTTTCTAAAACTATTATGAATCTTGCGGGTTGCCAAAATGTTCAAGGGAGGCCGCATGCGGCCGCGGGTTGGCTACCCCTATACTAGAATATCTATCTCTATGTTCTTTTCGTATCCGGTAACTCACCATTAGTCCTTTAGAATATGTAAGAATACATATGTATGTCACTTATTCAGTTAATAAAACTTAATCGAATAAAGTATGTTTTGTGAGGTAACATTCTATAAGGTTACTTACATATCTGCATAATCTAATCAATCTTGGATTGTGGGTGTCTAATCAATAATAACTCAAGGGGTCTTAAAAACTATTGCCAGGAAAGAATGCGCTCATTGGTAAGGTGTTTTCTTATAAAGAAAGAAAGTTATATAAAGCATTATTTAAATATCTTTATCAATAGGGTAGGTTAGGTTGGGTTATCGGGTTTTGTTCAAGTGACCACCCTCTTTCGATCCCCCACCTCCACCCGTTTGAAAAATACCGTAGAATTAATTTTGATTATTACCTAACCTAACCTCAACAACCAGCTATAATTTTCACGATCAGTTAAAGCAACAAACTTAATTTTTATCAACTTGTAGTAGCACAGTTACGTTCTGGATACCTTGTATATTTTGGGAAAACATGAAATAATAATTTGAATCATTGAGTAACTAACATATTAAATCAGTATTTTCGTCAGTTTCCATTTTTATTATGAACGTAGTCTAATTTAGACTAATATATACCTTTCATAATTAATAATTTTTTTCGTTATGTGAAAACATAAACTTAATCTGTAATAATTCATTATCATTGCTGTTGTTGCCCTTTAGAACTATGTCTTATTGATAGCGTTTAATTTTGTAATACGCTTTATAAACGGAAAACAAGAGTGAAAACGGAACTGACCCTTCTAAGGGTGGTTNGCCATTATCTAGACATTTACCAAAAATATAACATTTTTGTTGAAATTAATTTTGTTATTTGTGAAGATTAGAACATGATTCTTTTTTTTTTTGAAATTGACTGGACCAAGTTGTTGGACATAGTGTCGTCACTATTTTTTATATTATTAAATGTTGTTAAACAAATAAGTTGATTGTTATAAATTATTATTATTACATTGCAATTTTGTTGCTGTACTGTGCTGCTTTTATGTTTAAACAAAAGTGTAACTACAATACGTACGCTGTTCGTTTCTTTTAATTGTTGATATGTTAAGAATTAGGTACATATGTACGTAGTCGATAGTTACCTACAATACGTGGTTTGAATGCATTTTTTTGCGCACTGTTACCTAATTAGCATTATTCATTAAGTTTGCGGCTACCGCGCCTTTATACCTACATAGGTATTTGTAGAATTCAATGTAGATTTTTTGCATATCCAGCCGATTGTAAATTTTTTTAACTTAAGACATTAAATGATATTGTAATGTTGCAATTTGCAACTGTTAACTTGTTGTTTATTGTTATTTTAACTGAACAGGTATAGGAACCTTACCACCGTCCTAATATGCAGTAAAACGAATTAATTTCATCATAGGTATTTTATGTGAGGTACCCAGTATTTAGTGCTCAAAAGTAGTAGCGATATCGGTAATTACTGTAAATAGGTTTTATGTTTGACCTTCGTTTCATACCTGAACAGATATAAGTACTAATTGATGAGAGAGAGACACACATACCTACAACACATTCGTCACGCTATTGAAACAAATGATCATGTGGTATCAAATTGTAAGTCTATGGAACTATGGACTTACAATAATTAATTTGTGTCGATATTTCTTCTCAAAGTCCGACATTCTGGGATTAACTGGTTATTAAAACGTCTAATTAGGGAAGGGATGCAATTGGACCTTAAGCCAACTTT